TATCAATAATAATGAAAATGATAAAAACTTACAGCACCAGTTATAGGTACAAAGAAATAATGTCAGAGAAAATAAAATATTTGTCATAGTAAGTTCTAGAATAGAATCTGAAGCTTTTTTTTTTTTTTTTTTTTTCCTGACTGGGAATTCAGTTTTTTTTCTCATTAATCTGTGCTCAAAATTAGCAAATAGGTTCCTATTAATCAGCTTTTCCTCTAGCCTTTTTTAATTCCAGACTTCAGGTGCTTCAACTCTTTCACTTTGTGATAACTTATCTTTACCTAAATTCAATAACCTATAACTCCTCAAACAAGAATGATTAGCAGTTAAGTCTCTTCAAGCTTCTATGATGTGCTTTACCATGAGTAAAATTGCAGGAAAAAAATCATTTTATTATAACCTCAATTTTTTTTTCTTAAACTTAAAAATAGCTGGATAAGGCAGTACATGCCTATAATCCCACCTACTCAGAGGCTGAGGCAAGGAGCATGGCAAGTTCAAGATTGACCTAGGCAATTTTGTGAGACCCTGTCTGGGGATGTAGCTCGTGGTGGAACACCCATGGGTTCCATCCCCTTACCATAAAAAACAAAACCAAAAATTGCCAACAACAACAACAACAACAAAACCCCCTGAAGATATGCTAATTCTTATTTCAGAGTACTTCTCATTCTAATRGTGAAGTTTCAATCTGGCTTGTCAGTCAGCTCTCTGTGGGGCACTTCTATAATTCTGGAGTCCATTATAAAGTTTAACATATGATGATGACTGGATGTTTTATGCTAAGATACATTTCCCCTAGTCTCCTTTGTTAACTTTTTGTCTCTTTTGATATGTGTTTGCTGAAATGTTCTAATTTGCACATTCTCTCCTATACAGGATTACATTCTTCCCATCCCCCATTTCTTTCTATTTTTTTTTAGACTCCTTCCTTATTGCCCTCTTGCCTCTTTCCCTTGGCTTCTGTTTACTCTACATGAGAGAACCACGTGGTGGTGGCCAGCAACTGTCAGACCCATACCTTGGCTGTGTCAAAGGCCAGGCATTCTCCTTGGGGATCATAAGAATAAGGGTGGTCCTTTTCTCAGAACAAAATCTCTTTCTTAGCTCCCTTCTCTTCTGGAGTATCCTGGTTCTCTGTTAACATTGCTTGTATATTCCAGAATGCAAATCAAAGGGCACAGCTATTGTGGTTTCAGCCCTAGATAGTGTGGTTTGGATACACAAACTTTCACAACTCAAACTTGAAAACAAGACAGTAGGGAAATTCTGACCACATTGCCCCARAGAATGTATGTGAATCCCCATGCAGTTCTGGACACTTGTAGGACTTACCCTTTTTCYCCTTTTATAAAGTTTACACTTTTCCTTAGCCCACAGCATGCTATCCTTCCCATTATTTAAACATGATTGACTCRTTTACTGAAGCCTGAGTGCAAATGCTATTTGTCCCCTCCTTAAGCAAACAAATAAAATGGAATAACATGTTAAATGCAAATATGGGCAAGAGGTGTGGTATCCATGGTATCGAAACCCTGTTGTTTGAGAGACTGCACCCAAAACAGGAGAGCCATATGCTACCACTCACTGTGTCTATTTCTAGATCAGAATGGAGTCTTTAGATCTCTCCTATCCAATCTGTTCCCTGATTATGGCAGCTGATTCATATCCCTATGGAGTTAAGACGCCATATTGAGGGGTATGCTATTTCCACACTCCACCACGGACCCACCTGAAAAAATACACTTATTCTGTGGTGGGTGCCCAGAGGGACGTCATACAAGGTCTCAGGGTCTGGATGTCAGGGTTGTAGTTCTATGTAAATTGTTATCTACAGAAGCCCAAAGTGGAGACCAAACTGGAGACCTTGACTTGAAAAATTTATAGATAGATACTAAATATTTTCTTGGGTTCTTTTCCTATTCTCTTTTATGAAAAGATGTGGAATACAAGCAATTGTAAAAGTCATCGCTTTCTCAGTATTACATACAAATTCAAAATATTTCTATTATGATTAAATCTCGAATTATGGCCACGTTGTCTTAAGGAACTTATATTATTTATATACTTGAATGCCTTCATTAATTGTGAATCTTCAAATTCTGATTAGATAATTACATTTCCATAAGCACTTTCACTTTATATTTTATGTCATAGTGATTTAGGCTCAGTTAAAATTCTGAAGTAGAGACATCTGCATTTAAGGAAGTCCTAAATTAGGCAATAAAAGAATTACTTTCTCAAAATACAGATGCTAATTTATTATCTTATAGCAATTCTTTCTTTGAAACTTCTAGATATTGTTTTTAGTTATAGACATTTCATAATTTCTCATTAACAAGACATTATACACTTGTCATGGATGAACCAAAGTATCTCTATATATAAAGTATTAAATTGGCTAAGATGATGAGATATATACTCTATATGTATAATTATAATTATAATTATATATATATATATATATATATATATATATATATATATAAAACATTAGCCCCATCAATCAAGGTATGTAGTTTATATAGTGGTTAAACAGACTTTGAATTCAGATAGTATTTTATCACTCATTAGCTGTGTGACCTAGCCCATTGCCTTTAGTTTCTTTGGGATATCTATACCGAGATGCAGAAAGGTCAATTAATAATCGCTCAAATTAGATGTGAATCATAGCCCACAGAGGTAGAAATCACCATCTGGTTTAGTTTTATACAGGCAGAAAAACATAGAGCTAATTGCCACATTCTCTAGAYTCCTTCCCCCCAACAGAAAATCCACAATAAATCTTTTGATTATTTTCTGACCATGTTATTTTCTCTTTGTATCTGTGACCTTGGAGTCATCTTTGATTCTATTTTCCTTTGCCCTCATATCTTATTGCTGAGACTTTTTGGCTAGACATGCTTTTTGCCTCATTAGAAACAAAGAATTTCATCTAATTTCCTACAACTTGACTCTGGCTGCAYCACATGCCAACTTGGTTCTGGAAACATCTCAAAGACAGGTGCCCTATCCTTCTAAATGATGTCAAATTCCCCTCAGATCTTAATAAAGCTTGTTCATCAGTGTGGATGGTCAGTAGTGCCAAACTGACAGTCATTTATAACTATAGGTAGTGCACACTTAATCTGATTGCAGATAATAAATTAGCATCTGTATTTTGAAAATTAATTTTTTTATTGCCTAAGATTCATTCATTTGGAAACTTAGAAAACATTAAATACTTAATAAAGCACATCAAAACTATTCATTTTCCTCTAATTTTGCTGTTGTTTGAGTTAAAGTTCTGTGGACATTTGGGGGTTGGAAAATAGCTCTGAAAACCACAAAGAGGTCACTAATGTTGACAACCCTGAATCCCTCTGAAAAATAAGCACCTGTTCTTCTTATTTACTATAATAACAAATGGTTGGTCTTTGTACAGGTCAAACAGGTTTTTTAGATTTTTATAAAAGGCAATTATCTGACATTAAGACTGTAGCTGTCTTTGGGCCTTGGTAATAAGATCTTAATCAAATATTGGGGGCTCCTGATATTATAAAAATACCTTGGCTAAATATTAATGGAGAAAGTTTAGGGGAYGGGAAAGTCTTAACTATAATATATTTCTACATAGTAAAGCCATGTTTTMTTTTGCAGTAAGCATAAAGAACATGTCTAAAATGACACTCAGATTTCCACCAAACTAGTTTACATACTTAATTGTGRATTACTTTAAAGTCATGTTTTGGGTAGCTACCTGGGTGTAAAGTTGGTTAAGTCTATACAAGATTAATAAAACAGAAAACAAAGGAGGTAGCTTAGGTGTTTATATGTTTGCCACCCATCTTAGTTTGTAAATGGGAATTCTTGATATCAGGAATTATTTTTTTCATGTGAAAAAATTTTTTTCATTCTCAGTGCCTCCTACCCCATATTTGACCCATAATAAGTGTTTAAGCAAGGAATAAATAAGTGCCTAATTTTAATAACCTTAAATGCATGTTTTATGGGGTCTATAAAAGAAATATAATTTGCTGCCTCAATAAAACATWATTCAGGTAAAATTTTACAGCTGCACTCTTCAATATGGTAGCTACTAGAAAGAGGTGGMTAATTATGTCAAAATTTAAACTGAAATAAAGATGGTATAAAATTAAAAATCCAGTTCTTCAGTTTTATAGTTATATTCCAATTGCTTAGAAACCAAATGAGGCTTGTGRCTACCATATTGAAAATTGTGGGTAGGAAACAGTGCCTTCATTGTAGAGAATTTTTTTTATTGGATAGCATTCTATTATAGGGTATAATATTTTCTTCATATAAAATAATCTTATGACAGTGTACAAATTCCAGTATACTTTTCAGGTGATTTTGCAAATATAATACTCTCCACGTTCATCTAAAGGAATTCTAGGAGGAACCCATCCACTACACATTTCTTCATCCACATGCAGGTTTGTGGTAGTCTTATAATTATTGAAGGAGCTTTAAGAAYTTTTCTCTTTTTGAGCTGGTGTCTCCCTAGCTATATTACTCAGATTGAATCAGACTTGTGGGGTTCAAGGAATCATCTTTCCTCAGCTTCACAAATAGCTAGTACTATAGGTGTGTGCTACCACACTCAGCTTTTAAGAGKTTTTTTAATAAACTCAAAATTCTACAAAGGAGAAAACATCTTAAACAAGTGATATTTGAGCTCAAAGTTGAGCTTGCCAAATATTTAGATTCCCAGATCCTATCCACAAGACCCTGATCCAGTAGGTCTGAGGTGTCTTAATGAAATTAAATTTTTAGCAATCTCCCCAGGTGATTTTGATTTATATGGCCCAAGGGCCATATATTGAAAATTTTAGCATAAGAATTATGAGGATTATGTTCTTACTGCATATATTAAAAAAATATAGAACTTCTCTTTATTATGGGTCCTATCATAGTCACCAGGGCCATAAAGATGAAAAAAGAGAGCATCAGTGGAAAAATATTAATGGGTGTTATTTTTGTGAACCTGTTCTTTCACTAATCATACGCACCTTAACCTCTGCCTCCTGTTCAAACCTTCCCTTAGGTTTTCCCCAAGTGGAATCTTTTTTTTTCCAATATGCTAAGAGGAATATAGGAAGAAATTGATAATAGCAGAAATAGTAATAGAAGAGAGAAAAGAAAAAGGCAGAGAAAAAGGAGAGAAGGAAGGGGTTTGGAAGGAAAGGAGGAGGGGGAGGGAAGGCAAGATGAGAAAAAAGAAACAAGAAAGAAGAAKGAAGGAAATAAGAGCATGGACCGGAGAGAGGTGAAAAAAAGGAGAATGGAAAGCATTTGGTCATAGAATTGGGGGTAGGGCCATAAGCAAGAGAAAAGAGACTGAGATAATATTTAGCTTTTCATCGTCGGTTGGTAAATCATAGGAATATTCATTTTGAAAGAGAATTCGGATAGTAATTTGGCAAGGGAAAAGGTGGTTTAGTTTGATATGTTGGACTTAGATGCTGCCTCTGGTATTTTCAAGCAGGAAGATCCAGAAGGCAGCTGGGTATACAGTTTTAGAGCTTTGAAGATAAAGGTTTGGGATGTGCCAATGTTATACGAAACCATGAGAATGAGTGAAGTCACACAGGAAAATGAAATGGAAAGATGGAAATTTTAGTGGACATCCATATTTTAGGCAGTGATTTTTAAACTTTTATAGGTCCATAACATTTCTAAAAATAAATTGATTTGTAAAAAATACTTAATTATACAGACTTAAAAATTTTTGTAATTTTCAAGGAGTTGCATGTATCATTGAGAATGTCCCTAKATTTCACATATTTAAAGGATGAGAAGTGGAATCTATCATTAACAATACGAAGAATAGTCAAATAGAAAAATCAGAATTCTAAYGTACAGTGATGTATTTATCTGACCYAATGTAACAATAGATATAAACCCTTTAAATTAGCATCCTACTTCTCGTGTATTCATATTTGTAAAATTAGGAAATTAATTGTGCWTGTTTAGAAGTAATTTATTGAATTTCCTTTTTCTTCATAGCCCTTTAAATTCTGCAACAGAATTTCCCTTCATTTTGTTTTGGGTTTTCTTTCTTAGAGTCATAGAAATCAGTTAACATTGGAAAGACATGTTTTTTAAAGTATATGAACAATTCCACAAAGTTTATTTCTTCTACATAGATATTAGACAAGGGAAGGCAATGCATTTGTATTTTATGAGGGTACTTTCCTTTTAAGTTACACTTACCTGTGGAAGTGATGATGACTGTGAAACGAGTTTCATCTCGCCTTCCAGTTATGTTGTTGTAAGCACAGCATACRTAGTCAGTTGTCTTCTGGGCTACTTTCTCAGATGCAACTTCCAAGTGAGGCCCATACTTAATGACATATGTTGTATTGTCAGTCCTCCKAATCCAGGAGTAGGTGTTGGGGGGATAAGAATCAGCAGAACAATCAAATAGAATGGCTTCTCCAAGATCCACAGTAAACACTTCCCCTACTTTTAGCCCTTTATCAGAATTAACTTGAAGTCCATAAGGTCCATCTGCATCAATACAAAAAAGAAATAGAGGGGTAACATAAATATATGCAAGATACTTTGGGGGCTTGGAAGAGCTTAGCAGTATTTTACTTTCTTTGCAAGTTTTCACATGAGACTTGGGCAAACAGGTCCTTGTTTAGATTCCCAATGAACTTATTTGTAATAGTGAAAACCTGAAGTTTAGCTTTACAGACACTATCATTATCATTGTGACATTAAGTTTTTCAGTATTGTATTGATAAAGACACATTCTTGTTGGAAAACTCAATATTTTTGAAATAGCAATTGTACTTGAAAATATTTTTACAGCATAYGATGTCCATTATTTTTTTCTTTGACAACCATACTTGAATATCATCTATTTTTCTTCTCAGTGTGAGGATAGGTCATGCAAATATTTACTGAAGGCATAGTTTCACAAGGAACAGAGATTTGTGCAAATAGATATAGGAGTGTTTCATATTTTCATAATATTAAAACAGTTAAAGAATTTTTAAAATTCCTACCCCTAAGCTAACCTTAAGATTCCACTTGGAAATAAATAAATAAATAAATAAACAAATAAATAAATAAATAAATAAATATCTTTACTGTCATTAACAAATATTAATTGATCATCATTAAACTACTTAATCATGGATGTACCCTGGTGTTTTCCCACACAGTCCAAGGCTTTTATAGTATTTTGCCATTCCCATGGTATCAGGTCCCAGCAGATGAAGACACATGCTTTTTTTTTTCAGAGAATAAAAAGAGAGATTAAAAATATTCCCCAGCTACAAAATTTTCTCATCTAGTCTTAAGCCCTGGCTTATATTGTAAAAACTTTCACATTTTAGACAGTATTGTACTAACTTTTCAGTGGCTGGTAGCTGCTATTTTTTGGACGTTTGCTATGTGAAAGCACTTTAAAATCTTACATGTATAACCACATTTAATCTTYAAAGAAACCATATCTGATAGATGTTATTATTCCCATTATAATATTTAAAAATTATTTTTACATGATCACATAGTTTTTAAATAGCAGAACTGGGACTCTTTTAAAATATATGCATTTAATCATTCATATTAATCCACTAAAAGGAAATAAAGTAGAAGAGATATAAATTTATCAGAATATTTTCTTGTTGTCTACYTATACTATTACTTCTATAATAAATTATTGTTTAATTATATATTAACTGTAATTAGTGAAATATTCAATCAACAAATATTTACTTGAGTGATATGTATAGATAATATATTTAGTATATGAGAGACAGAAATAATTTTTAATCTTTTTTTTTGTTCTGATTTTGTTTTGAAAAAGTCTTAACACYCATTTCAGAACATGTGCAATAATATAATGTGACTAGACCTTACTTAGTAGAGTCATCAGTTTTGTCAACCATTAGTTAAGTGTTCTTTAGAAATTAATGAAACTTTTTGGGTCATGGCTTTTCTCATCTTTTAATATAAAAAACTGGATTAACTTGTTGCCACCGTTCTTTCTACCTTTCCAACACCATGATTCATACTGTGCTAGAGCTATTTTAAATATGACAAGCCAATCTCAAGTTTGCAGATTTCCAGAGTGGCTCYTCATTATGTTGGTATTTTCTGACTGACCTACCTTTTGATAAACAATTTGCAAAGATACAACAGAATCTAATGATTCAAAACAAGGGTTTATATTTAGCTAGGGAACATACCCTTAAACATTTTYCCTTTCTAATGACATAGAGAAAAAGTGAAAGAAACCTGAAGATTTACATTAATATGTCAAGATGAGGTAATCATACTTTCAGAAAGCAAACCAAGAAACTAGTTTAATCACCCCTTGGTATTTGGRTTGATTGGCTCCAGAACACTTTGAGGGTACCCGAAACTGCAKATRCTCAAGTCCCTTACATAAAATGGTGTAGYATTTGCATATAACCTCCATACGTCTTCCTGAATATTTAAAAGCATTTCTAGATGACTGAAAACAACATAAATGCTATGTAAGTAATTGTTATGACTTATTGTTTAGGGAATAAGACATGCARAAGTATGTACACATACTGCATATAWGCAGTAATTTTCCAAATGTTTTCTATCTGAGGTTGCTTAAATCTGTTGATACTGAATCTACAGATATGGAGTACTGACTGTATTTTGAAATTTAAAGCAATCAGGAACTTGAGGTAGAGGATTAAAAKGAGGAGGAACATATGTTCCCTGTGAATGCATTAGCACTTTGTCACACTGTTTTCCTGTTTTAGTCTCTGATGAAATCTCAGGTGAAACYATTGTGATCAGGGATTTAGAACAATGTATTGTGAAGTGAAACCCTCTTATTCAGAACTGCACTAAATAGTAGTAGTTTAATGGAAATGAAAATTTGCTTTTACTCACTCAMTCAAAGTTGCTATTGAGATGTTACTGTGTGCATGACACTGTTCTAGGCACTRTGAGTGAATCGAGATGTTGAAGACATGGTTCTCGAGGCTGCATCTCCAGCTCTGTGCAGTAGCAGTGCCCCTTCTGGTTGTCAGCATTGATAGAACATTAGGAAAGCAAAGGCCTCCAACCAGTGTTCACACAGAAGGAAACAAAKGGGAGGAATCCACAGTGACTGGGAAGAGCAAGACCCGAGTCYATGTAAATGAGAACAATGTAATMAAAAATGTATAGCCATTCAATTTAGGTCTCTTGTCTTCCCACTGGTTTTGGGAGTTTACAGAATGTGGCTATAAAAACAAATTGCCTCATAATTGAACACACATAAAAATGAATATTACTTCTTTCAAAATGTGCTAACATTACTCAAAACTTTTTTGGAACCTCCTCATTTGAAATCACCTTAGGACCTTGCAACAGAATTAAATGCTTTCACAAATATTAATTCTTTAATATTAGAGGGTGTGTCCCAAAGTCACTGCAAACCAGAGGTAGTAATAAGTAAATAAGTAATAAGTAAATAAGATCATTGAGCTAATTTAAAAAATCACTCTAGCTTAAAATAAAAATGCTTTCAAAGAAAGAAATCTTAGTTTATCTTCTCAGTTTATCTTCTCTTATTTTTATTTCAATTTTGCTACTTCCTCACTTGTTGGGTTTCATGACTGGCCTCATCTTTCCTTTTTGTCTTACTTATATGCTATATCTGGCTTTTCAGAGTTGGCCTCAAATCCCTCAAACTCCCTTCCACACCAACCTCTAAGCATCTCTTCTATTACTTGGAACCTAACACCTTGAAGCATTTAAATCCCTTGCTTCTTAAAATCCTTTAAAAATCCTAAAATTCAAAGAAGCTCAATGTGAAAAAAAAAGTCATTTGTAATTTTATTGCTCAGAGAACCAATATCCACATTTCAGTGTATGATCAAGTCTTTCTTCACACACATACACACACACCCCTAACTATATCTTACCCCAAACATACTGCTTAAAATGCATTTTCATTTTCTTTATCAGTAGCACTTCAGGCTGAGTATCCMTCTACTTTGAGGCAGAGCCTAGCACATTATTCAAGCGAATGGACATCTAGTTGGAGATGTTTGGAATGATTCAACAAGGGTGACTTCTGATACTAAAGATGAAAGCAGAAGGATAATTCCATTTTGACTTTGGATTATGGTTCACTTTTTTGCCTTCAGCAGAAGCTTCCCAATGGAAATGAACCCATAGCCTCAGGAATGACTGTTTACTAAATGACTTGTAAAGTCACATGTCATCTGTTCTCTTTAACAATTTATGGCTGGGTGGGAACAGTACTGAAAATTCTGTCATGATGCTGCTTGCCACCCTGCTTGGGAGCAGATGGTAAGTATTTACCATGAATGACCCCTTTTTTTTCCTTTAATTTTATCACTTGGAGTACCCCCCTGCAGCAATACCATATGTTGCACACAGAATATAGTGGTTAGTAGGTTATTAGCTGCAGCTAGAAGCATATACATCTTGTGAACTGCATGTAGATATTTGTCTGAATTATCAACTTGACATTGTATTCCATCAAGGCCAATACCAAATTATGACATCATAACCGCATAAATATATGATCAATTTTGCTATATTTTGTTATATTTTTTCCTGACAAAATAAAAAAATGATTCCTGCTTTCATGAAAAAAAAACTGCCATGGAAACAGTGCTTTTAGAAAACAGAATAGATGATTTGTGCTAAATTATGATGTGGACCTCTATGAAGAAATATTAGAATGTGACATTTACAAGATTATTGAAGAACGTTGCTAAAGGTCAGAAAAACAAAGGGCTGAAGCACTATAATGAAGAAACTGTCACCTTATAATAGGAATATAACCTTTCCACAGTATCATCAAGTATCACTGGAATCTGAAAGGGTATGAACAAAAATAATGTATTCCATTTTAGTCAAGTTCAAGAAACTTTATTGAGTTCTTAATCTGTGTCAAGTGTTGCCCTACAGATATARAGGTAAATAATGTGAAATTATTACTTGGGTTTGGGGTGCTTATGAGTGGAGGAGAATCAAGGAAAACATAATGCAGTGAAAACCAGGAAAGAGTTCTGACACAATCTCATTTCCTATTCTTTCCTACAACATTAAAAGGTAGTTCTTTGGGATTAATATTCAGTATATGATGTCTGGCTGGCATTTGTTCCTTTCGTATGTTAACGTCAACCATTTAGACTAAATAATAAGAACAGCATAGGGATGTGTCCACATAGTCCTAGATTTTGATTTGAGTAGTCTGTTCATATTTTCTTTTCACTATGTTTAAATAAATGAAATACCAAAGTCTGTGTTATTTGAAGTTGAGTTAAAGTTTTAATTCTTTCAGAATAATTGCCAAGAATATGCATATAAATAAACTGCACCAACTTTGAACTTTTTGCTCCAATTCAATGCTAGTCTCATAGAATAGGCACAGCGTGTAGTTTCATTGTGAATCTATTTAACAACCTATATTTTAATGTAGATGGAATATTTTCACAATGTTATAAGAATGTAAGATTAAGTAAAACCATCATTAAAATACAGCTAAGAATTCAGCTATAAAAATAATGTCATAATCACAATATAAATTATGACTTGTTTCCATACATTTTAAGGTACTTTTACTTTGGCTTTATGCCTGGGTTCCTTCTGTCCCCAATTGCCTGTAATCATTTCCTAAGACATTGCCACTTGCCCCCAATCATACCTATTGTTCTAAGTCCACTGAAATGTCACTTTCTGCAAGAAGCCTTCTCCCCAATCAGAAGCAATATTTCCATCCTCTGAATTCCAATGGGTTGATATTATTGTGGTTATGATGGCTCTTATACAGTACAAGTCATCCAGAGTTCTAAGAACTTTTCATATAGTAACAGTTTCAATCCTCACAATAACTGTTCAGAAAGATCAAGGGATTTACTTAAGGTCACACAGGTAATGACTGAATGCACTTCACACTTCAATCTGTCTGATTACTAAGCACCTAAGTGCAAAGCTTTAGTGCCTCTTTCACTATTATGAGTATATATTTGATGAGTGACTATACATATATACATATATACATGCACAAACATATACTTATATGCACACATATAACATATGTGTATATATGTGTGTATATATACATATGGGTGTATGTGTATGTGTGTATGTATGTGTCATAATTCTCATCTTATTATACAACCAGCTGAAACCTCCACCCTCATGCCACAGAGGTAACAAGTGTCCTGCTACTTTTCTTGATAAGTTGTGATGGCAGCCATGCTCTAAATTACATGGCAGCTGCTAAAAAGGCTTCCTGATGTTACAGGTCATTGGTTCTCATTTTGTCCCCCAGGAGACATATGGCAATGTCCAGGGACATTTTTAGTTGTTACAACTGGAGAGGGTTGCTACTGGTGTGCAGTGGGTAGAGGCCAAGGAAGATGCCAAACACTGTATTGCACAAGATAGTCCCCATTACAAAGAGGGATCCAGCCCAAAATGTCACTAGTATAGAGGTTTAGAAACTACTAAACTGAAATTAGAATAGCATTAGTAAACATATTAGAGGTAGTGCTATGAAGTGGAAAGGACTGGGGAAATAATGCAATAAAGAAAGTGCTTGGGTTGGTGATAGTAGTATGACATGAGCTGAAGGGTTTGATAAACTTAACTGTGCACATGAGTTTAAACTCATGCAGGGAAAAAAGACCACAAAAAATTGAAATCCAGAAATAACTGTTGATTCCCTGGGAACCTGAATTATTTTTGACAGAATAATTAAGTAGAATCTAGAATCTTCCTACACCTTCTAGAATCTCCCCTGCACCTTCTTCTAAAAACAGCTGAGAAATGCGCAGAAAGAACAACAATGCCCTGGGGTGTGCTCTCCGTGCGTGCATAACCTAGAATGCTTTTTTTTTTTCCCCCTTGGGGTAAGTTACAGAGCAAATTCCTCTCCCAACCTCACCGACTCTTCCTTTTGGGATGAACAAATTAGTTCCTCTACATGATTCTGGGATCTTGAAATCAAATTCTTACTTTCCACTGCAAATGAGGCCACACAATGTACTGAATTCAAAATTATATCCTGAGTGGCTCCTGGCCAGTATTTCAACTTGGTCTTCAAGAAATAGGATTGTGTTAGCAGATAAATTTTATGACAAGACAATGCCTAGGAGATATGACTATAAATAATCCTGAACTACAATAATGATAAAATACCAAATGATATCTGGTGTGATATTCTGTGGGCCTACCGCTATGAGAACTTTCCAGAAGAAAAATATCTTTTGAGTAACATAAACAAACAAACAAGCAACTTACAATAGATGGTGGGCATAATGATGTTACTTTCCATCTCACTGACAGGGTTCTTCACCAGGCAACTGTAATTCCCAATGTCTTCCTTAGTCACTGGGGAAATATGAAGTGTGTTGTTTTGAGGAGAAAAGGAATAGGTGGAACTGGTGCAGACAGGCTTCCCATTCTTTAACCACTGGTAAGCCAATCGGGTGCCCCCTTCCACCTGGCACATCAGGGTTATGTTCCCCACATATTCCACAGCCCCAGAGGAAGGGTGAGTCCAGACCACTGGTTTTGTGACAGGATCTGCAAAATCAAGAGAGAGAAATTATTTATGCTATCCATGAAACTACAATACAATTCTCTGTGGTTTTTCAAATATTAAATCCTGGAGAGATTATTCCAACGTTTTATATTTTGTAAATGTAGACAGGCAATAATTAAAGAAGAGAATAAAAAGTCATGGGAAATGCAAACTAATAAAATATAATAATTTTATTCATAGACAGAACCAAATTTTAGAACTTATCTTCAAATATTGTATAATGAAGCCATTTACTGTATAGATAATGTAGCTAGTAGTCAAGAACCCCAACTTCCTTATTTCCTGTTCACTGTGCTTTCCCCAACATCACAAAGGTTTAATTTCCCAGGCAAAATGTATATGCTTATTTCCCTCTCTTGACTTGTCCTAAAGTACCAAGAGCAGCTGGTTGGAGTGATTGTGGTGAACCCAAATTTCCAACCACTATCACCAAAGTAAACAGTTCACATATAGTATAATGTTAAAGAATCAAGGGAAAGTGTTAGAGACTCAATAGGCACAGTTTCCTCTTCTATATAAAAGAACCCAGTATATGTTTTAATTGTTTTACATTTGTGTTGCAACATAATGTTAGTTATTTTAACAAACCAACACCTACATTTCAACATTGATTCAATCAGATAACAGATTAAAATGTATTGTTGGGACTGTACTAAATTAAGAGCTATAAAAAAACAAATTCAATAGAAATTTTTGTTGGGAAGTTGAGTTACAGGAAAATAGTTTTATATTCCAAGTTTGACAGATAGTGGGTACTTAATATTTACCAAATGAATGCATTTCCAATAATGCATAATATTTCCTTCTGAATTTCCACTCTGAAGTTGATGGTAGAGGGTGGAAATGATATATGTATTCACAACCATTTTCAGCAACCTTCACCAATCGCTGAGGTTCTTGATTCTTTATTTGATAAAAACAGTGACTTGCCCAGAGTTACCTGGCATTCAGTGGTAAAAATAAGAGGGCTTTAAGTCTAGCAATATTTCTCTCCTGTATTTTGGAGAGAAATGCATTTAATAATCTCCTGTGTATGATTACAGAACACAGAGAGAATAAGATGGCATATGAGTGACTGATAATTTGCACCAATACTGAGACTTTGATTTCCTATCAAGGGTTCAGTTGAGGTTGATGCATCCTCCTCCGGCAAATCTATCTTGAATCATGTTTACATTTTCTTACAATGGAAAATGTGCATCAGACCCAATTCTCCAGCCCAGGGAAGATAGAAAGAAATGAAATATAAGGAGGAATGAAGTTGTAAGCAACTTGTAGCGGGGAGTTGAGTAGTTCTGAAACTTCCATCAATTTTCAAGGTGGGTTTTAGCAACTGGCTTGTCCATTTAATCAATCCTTTATCTTTGCTGGCAAGAGGAAAGGATTTAGAATAATATTTTGTTTATAATATCACGATTTTAAAAAATTGAACTATATATATTTATTAGGTAAAAAAACTTATATTTAAAGTGCATCTTTATGTAGAAACATATATGGTATGGTATAAAAAGATAACATGTGAACAGTCTTTTATGAGGAGAACCAGTCATTAGAATAGTCATCAGTACTGTGAGCCTAGAACAGTGTTACTCAGATGTGGAAGTTTTCCTTCTGAGAAGAATTTTTGCTCAGGTCCTAAAAGCCAAAGAAACCTTTACTGGTTGCATTTCCCTTATCAGGTCCAACTTCCCTATTAAGTTTTTGGAGAGACAAGAAAACTTCACAAAAATTCCTATATTTCTTTTCTTTCCCTAAAGTCGCCCTTCAGGCATCTGATTCCACATCCTTTATCTTAGCTCCCCTTCAGCCTCCCTTTCTCTTCAATAGTCCACTTAATATACAACCACTCAACAGGTGGTTTCTGAGTCTATTTATGGCCAGCAGGTTTTTTTTTTTTCCGGGGGGTGGGGACCAGGGATGGAACTCAAGGACACTCGACCCTCTGAGCCACCTCCCCAGCCCTATTTTTGTATTTTATTTAGAGACAGGGTCTCAATGAGTTGCTTAGCACCTCACTTTTTGCTGAGGATGGCTTTGAACTCATGATCCTCCTGTCTCAGCCTCCCCAGCTGCTAGGGATTACAGGCATGAGCCACTGCACCCACCAGCCAGCAAGGTTTTAGGCAGTAAAGAGAAAGCAGCAAAATTCCTATGGACCTTAAATTTTAGTTAGGGAAGATAAACAATAAACATAATGACACTGGTATGTGTGTGTGCGTTTGTGTGTGTGTGTGTGTGTGTGTGTGTGTGTGTGTGTTTGAAGGAGTAAGATTATATTTTATATAAGTTGGTTAAGAAAGATTTAAGAGATAGTGCAATATTTGAGTTGAGACCTAAGGAAATAGGGGAAATACCTTGGAGAAAAGCCATCTAGGTAGAGTGAACAGCAAGTAAAAAGACCCTGAAATGTGTGTCTGGCCTGTTCAAGGAGGAGCAAGGAGATCAGCAAGGCCAGGACAGAGGTGGAAATGGTGTCAGATAGGTGTGAGGATGTAGGGCCTTGAAGTCCTTGTTAGCACTTTGGTTTTATTTCAAGTGGGTGAGAAAGCTGTTGGAGGAGTTTTAAATTGCAAGAGGCAGGAGCAGAGTGGCATGCTACTAGAATAATCCAGGCTATAGCTGGTGGTTGAGGGGGGGTCTGATGGGGGAGGTAAGTAGCTGTACTCTGTCTATATTTTGAAGGTAATGCTGACAGGGTTTTCTTTTGGACTGGGTATAGGTTGTATGGAAAGACAGGGTCAATGATCACTGCAAGGTTTTAGCCTGAGAAACTGATAGAATGGAATTGATATTTACTAAGATGAGAAATATCAAATAAACAGCTCTAGAGAGAAAAATCAGAAGTTGGGCTTTGGACACAATACATTTAAGGTATGACACCTAGTTATCTTAATAAGAAAAACATATCTAAAAGTTAGCTAACTCCACTCCTCCTCTGAGAAACTCTATTGTCCTTAAGTGTAGTTATTGAGCTCATTCTCCCCAAAACAGTGTATCAAATTAAAAACTTCATGTGACACAAATAAAAATACTACTGATATTTAATTTATTTTTCATCTCATTATATTAGCAACTTAATTTTTGCAGTTTCCAGGGGAACTAATGACAAGTTATACTTATTGCTTGATTATTTTTTTGCTGGGCATAGTGCGTATCCCTTACATAAATGTCTGATCTAATCTTCAGAAAGCTTCATGAAGTTAATAATATCATTAGTGTCATGAGACATAGAGGCTTTGAGAGTTAATTAATTTGCCCAAAATTTCAGAGTCTAGGAACTTTAGAGTCCTGAACCTCTGCTAACTCTCTATCAGCTTTCTATATACAGTCATAGTGGACTCACCATCTACAGTGACTTGTATCTTCTGACTTGAGGATAGAGTTCCATTTCCCTGAATATTGACCTTCACAATGTAATTGCCTTCATCGGTGAACTGCAGTGGGTTGATAAGCAGAGATGCATTGGGTGGCATCATGGTAAACTTGTGTTGGTATTCCAAGTCGGGAACCACAGACTTATTCACAGAGCCCAGCAAGTATTTGGGCATTGTGTGGGGCCTCTCAAACAGCCATATGATCTGGATGTCCGATGCTGGAGTGTGGAAGCCATAGTGCACAGGAAGGTAGAGGGCTTGACCCCTGATGCCATGGACAGTCTGTGCCGGCACCATCACCTTCAACCCCGAACAATCCATTGCTACAAAGGCAAAGAAAGCTGTGAAGACCCTGAGCCACATTTCATAATCCAAAGGAATAACCACAGAGAGAATTTGATCAAATGATAATCCTTTTCAAAGAAGAGAGGCTTCTTAGTACTGACCATTCTAGTACCGGTTTCAGGTAGAGGTAAATATTTGTCTCAAAACCTTATGCATTAAAAAAGCTCCACCCAAAATCTATGCTGAATGCATGACTTCTTTAAAGGCAAGAAAAAAAATGAAAAGCAGAAGTAATTATCTATAACCGTTAAAGAATAATGGGAAAAGGAGAAGTGGGAAAGATTGTTAGTTCTAAAGTCCAATGAAACCATTAAAACATTTGAAATTATGACTATATTAATGTCTGTGCCATATCATATCCTGATCAAACTATATAATTTCAGAAATATGGGAGAGGGAGCAAGGTTTATTTCATTCTAAGAATTTTCCCCCAAACCTTCTGAAATGGCTTAATATTCTATTTTTAGAAGTTTTCCCCTTTAGCCAAAACCTTGCTAAATGAAATAACCCAAAGGAAAGTGGTATTAAACCACAATAAATCATGACCAGTCATTCTTGCCCAGGAGAGGAATTTAGTTGATGTGTTTGAGGAACAGCAAGGGGAAGGCACAGATGGAACAAAGTGGAGGAGGAAGAGAGTAGTACGATATGAGTTCAGTGAGTTGGCCAGAACAGATTGGGAAGGACCTTACAATCATGGGAAAGACCTGGGCAATATGATTCTGAGTGATATTGGGAATGCAACTGGAGTCTTGCCAACAGAGAAGGGGTATTATTTTTTCTTGTGTTTTATTAGACTTGTTGCTGTGAGAATAGACTGGACTAGAGAGAAGAGCAGGAACAGAGAGACCACTTTGGAGGTGACTTCAATAAAACAGACAAGAGATGATGGTGTGGACCAAGGTGCTAATGAATGATATGCAAGAAGGCTGGTGGAACTAAAGGATTTGCTGACACACTTGGGATGAGATATAAGAAACAAAGAGGAATCAAGCATGACTGCCATGTTCTTGAGTTAGGCCAAATGGAAAAAAGGAGTTGCAATTGATAATCCCTGAGGAGAAAAGGTTTTGGGGGAAGATCAGAAGTTAGTTTTGGACATGTTCATTTTGAGATACCCATTAGACATGTAAAAGGCCAGGTAGAATGGATATAATTGGACATGAAAACCTGGTCGAAGGGAATTTAGGAGAGAATGAGAGACCTAGATGACTCTGGGGCATGGAGGCCCAGTGCATAGTCCTGGGCAGTGCCTGAGTTGTTTGAACCCATGCACTTGCAGATGTATCTTAAGTTTGCATTTTTTCCCTATTTTCTGGCACCTGGAGGTATCCCTATCTTATACTCAACCATGACATATTGTTTTATTTTATTTAACATTTTTTATGTATTTGCAAAGGAGAATCCTCCTTAACCTAGGCTAACACGTTTCTGGAACTCTAATTCAAAGCTTTTTGCTTCAAGATCTTCATTTTCAAAGGAGGCACTATAATTCCTCCATCCCAGGAATGTTAGAAATGGAGAGAGAAAGTGGTGAGTTTAAATGTGGAATATTTTGGACAGTGAGAGAAAAARGAGAGAATGGAACAGAAATTGGAGACAGTGAGTATAAACACTTTTGCAGAGTTTTTCTGCAGGAGCAGAAAAATAGGATGGGAGTTGGGCAGGAATGTAAAATGTGACATCAAGTTTTTACCTACTGAGAAAGATCYATTTGAAAGGGAAATGTTGAGGAAGGAGAATGGAGATGAGTGAAGGTTGAATAAAATCCTTGGGCTGATGAGAAGAGATAGTAATTAAGCACAAATATGGGGATTTTACAATTTCAATTTTCATATATACAAAATATATATTCTCTTGGCTGCTGTCCCTCTTCAGAATTGTTACTAGGAAGCTTCAGTGTTACTAGGGGGTGGGTGACTTCATCTAAGTCATGTTATGGTAGGCCACTGACATGAAGATGGGAAAGGTAAAAAGGTCTGTTTATCTCTTGCAATGATTTATTTGGAGAAAGTAAACATTTAGGCCTACTCTTGAGGAATCTACCAAGAATATATTTATTTTCTTCCTTCCTAGGGTAGAGGCAAGAGCAGTTCCTATGGTTTAGGCATCTGGTGAGTTATTGGTACAGAATGAGACTTTGGGATAGGCAGGATGTTAAAGCAAAGAATTCAGAAGAAAGCATGAAGAGGAAGGAATGAGAAGGCTAGAGGGAGAACAGACCCCTAAACACTCAATTGAAAGTGACTGAATGAACTGGAGTGTATAAAACAATAAGGGAAACAAAGACTTACAGTATCCTTGGCTTCTCTATGGATTTGTAATTATGATTTTTAAAATAATAGACTTTGCATGTTCAATTTAGTGATTTGGTTCATATCAAAGGCATGATAGAGGTATGAGGATGTGTTTCTGCATCCTATTCTGGCAAATGCAAGAATGTTAAATTTGGAGTTTTTCCTAATTTGAGTAATTAGCCAAACAAGAAACTGGGTGCTGGAAAATCTAAAGAGTAGAAAAAGTGGATTGCAGAAAAGGACTAGTGGTCTCTGGAGGGAAAAAGAGAAAAAGAAAGAGGGAGAGTAAATCTATGTCTTAAAACTAATGGTGTTTAAGATACATGAAGCAGAAGAGAGGGGGTGAATTCTTTAAAGTCACAGATTTGGAAGCTATTGACTATTTGGATAGAAGACAAGAACAGAAAAAGATTCTTCCTAGTGTATGTTTTCTCAGCATAAAACAAGATACTTTTAAATACTTTTTATCAGAAGTAGAGATAGGGAACTTCTGACAAGAGCTATTTTTTAGTACCCATTGTTGGTAACTTAATATATGAAAGTATAACTTTCACTGCATCTACTAAGTGTGTTACTGTCTTCTTTTTTATTTAAATGAATATGAAAATATTTACAAGGGTCTTATGGTCAGTCCTGATTCTTGGATTCCTTTGTCTTATGTCCACCAGCCATTCTTAAATCCATCACTTGTAAGTTACTCGGAAATAATATTCAGGAAAACTTCTCTAAACTTTCAGAGAGATTACTGTATTGGAGACTTTGACAAAGTTAAAAATTCACTGAAATATAAGGTCTTAGTAAAGGACACACATGTGGGATAAAATGGTGATTAGTGAGTTATGTGATCTTAAGTCAATTTAAGTCTCAACCTGTTTTCTCACGTGTGAAAGGAGGAGATATTAGATGATGTTCAAAGCCTCTCTTTTCTTAAATCTCTAAGTGTTTGTGTTCTTGACATCTTGAGGTATTCTTCTCGGTATAGAGCAAACCACATTTGATGGTGAAGGGTCCAAAGAAGTTTTAAGTATTAAGATTCAATTTGTAGTCCGTTTATTAAGTTGTCAATCCCTGAATATTCTTACATAAAGTGACAATTCTGCATTTTTTACCAAGAAATCAAGGGGAAATGATGGGAATCTACATCATTGCCTTGGGAATACACTGGAAAAAACTGTGTGGCTTCTGACATAAAATGAGGCAGTTGCATCTGGCTGTGAGCAGTTTTGTCATTGACTTATTGGTCTATTTAAGACATTTCACAGCTCAATCTAGAAAACACTGCAAGACTAAGATGTTGATATAGATAGCCCGGATGCAATTTTGGCCAATCTGTTCTTGTCATTTGGGGAAGTCATGGCAKAGGTTCTCTCTTTCTCTCATCTCTCCCAGAAAGGGAAGAAACCCTTTAAATCTTCTTTCTTTGAAATTGTAGTTGAAAGGATTGATTGAAATTTATTTAATATTCTGGAAATAGTTGGGAGGCACTGAACTACTATGGAGAAATAATATCACTAGAATAGAAATGTTGCCAATTTTTGGATTGTTATTCAAAAAGTGGGAACCTAAGCATGAAAACACTGGTTATAGAGTTTATGATTAAAGTTAGGGGATTAAAAATTTTATTTGATAAAATAGTAAATATAGTAGACCCAGAGAAAAATGAAAGTGCTTTAGTAGAAAAGAACCATTTGTATAGCATTTACAATCATTGTTTAGGGGGCAAAACTAGTTCTTTGGGCTATTTTTGAGGCTGTGTCATATAATAATACCTTAAATAATATATTGCCATCCACATCTCTGGATATATTCAATGCTTCTAAATCAAATGAAAAAAATGTTATTCAAATATGTACATTTTCTTTTTCAAACGTGTGTATGGCAGTGTAGCACAGCTGTTACTTAGAGATAGCCTACATGATTTTATGGGATGAATTATAGGTAGCAAGTTATAAGCATGTCAGCAAGGAATGAGTTTCTCTTTAAATAGAATACTATCTCATTTCCCTAAAATCTTTTCATTTTGCAGAAAAGACATAAACCTATTGATATGATATAATCCTTGTACTCGAGTTTTAGAAATGAACAGATAATTGGGTACTTCCTCTACCTTTTAGGGAGGCACATTTTCATCACTGATGTATTTCTCATTACTGTTAAACACAATAATCTACTAATTTTAGAAAAAAATAGCTTCATTTTGAGGGGTTTTCAAGAACTTTAAAGGACTAAAGCTACTGATTTTATAAAGTCATCCTCTGTGTGAACAAAAAAAGCTTCAAGAAAGCATATAATATAAAATTAAAGAAATGTTAACTTCCTTTTTAGAGTCCAAATATTTGGAATTAGGTGGAAACATTTATTAGATTCATTGATAATTTCCTTTTTAAAAGTGTTGTTTTGGTAGTTGTRTATGGACAGCATGCCTTTATTTTTATTTGTTTATTTTTATGTGGTGCTAAGGAATAAACCAGTCAGTGCCTCACGCAAGCACTCCTCCACTGAGCCCAGCAAAAGCCCCTTTATTGATAATTTCTTAGAATAAAAAAGAAAGATTGGGTAAAAAGTAAAAGTAGGGAAGACAGACATGCTCCAAACATGATATATGCAATGTATGGCTATTTCAGAGAGTCCCATTAATTTGTAAAATTAGTATCTGTTAATAGTTGCAATTGAAACAAATGTTATATTGTGAAGTATTCCAAGAACATAGAAAATGCAAAAAGATATACAKCCATAATTAGTGTGTTAAAAAGGGAAAACTTTTAAACTTTTTATATCTAAAACATCAACAGAAACATAGATAATCATTAACAATCTGTT